CCCAGAGCGGAGCTGTGTCTGTGCGGTCCCCGCACGGCTCGGAGCTGCCTCGGAGCTGCTCAAATCCAGAAATGTTTCCCCCGGGCCGTGTTCTCCCTGTAGGGCCCCGCGTTCCGGGGTTTGTGCCGGTTCTCTGTAAACCCTTGGGGGGCTGTAGGGACYGACCCCGCTCGCTGTCCCCTTGCAGTGCCTCGTGGGCTGGGCAGGGAACGGTTACGTGTGCGGGAAGGACACGGACATCGACGGCGTGCCCGACGAGAAACAGCGCTGCTCCGACAGGAGCTGCCGCAAGGTGAGRGCGGTGCGACCGCCACTTGGGCTCACGGGCGGCGCTGGGGACATTCAGGACATCGCCACATCCCCGTGTCCCTCTCCCGCAGGACAACTGCATGACCGTCCCCAACTCGGGCCAGGAGGACGCGGACAGGGACGGCATCGGGGACGCGTGCGACGATGACGCCGACGGGGACGGGATCCCCAACGCCGAGGTTCGCGGGGGTCCTGCGGGCAGCAGCGCCTTCAGCGGGAGCTGGGGGTCACAGCGGGAATTTGGGGGGTCACAGCGGGAATTTGGGGGCCACAGCGGGAATTTGGGGGGCCACAGCGGGAATTTGGGGTGTCACAGCGGGAATTTGGGCGGTCACAGGGTGGGTTCAGGGGTCCCGGGGTGGGTTCAGAGGTCCCGGGGTGAGTTCAGGGGTCAGCGTGGCCTTGATCTGGGTGCTCTGAGAAATCTCGGGACACAGAAAAGGCGTCACAGGGGAATTAGGAGCCTGTCCCTAGTGAGTCCTGGCTCACCCTGAGGTGGTGCCACTGTCCCCAGCCCTGTCCCTGTCGCTGTCCCCGCAGGACAATTGTGTGTACACCCGCAATGCTGACCAGCGCAACGCCGACAAGGACAACTTTGGGGACGCGTGTGACAACTGCCGGCAGGTGAAGAACAACGACCAGCGGGACATCGATGGGGACGGCAAGGGCGACGAGTGCGACGACGACATGGACGGGGACGGTGAGGGCGCTGTCCCCACAAACCCGCGGGGCTCCGGGGCCACCCAGCCCTGCCCAGGCCGGTTCTTGGCTCAGCTCTCGGGGTCACACGCTCGGGGTGACACTCGGGGTGACACTCGGGGTGACACTCGGGGTGACAGTTCTGGACACAGCCCCAGTTTCTCCCACCTCCAGCGTTCCCTAAGGAAGGCAGCTCCTGACAGGCTGGGGGTGGCTCCACCCCTGCTCGGGGGGAACTGAACAAACCCCATCCCCAAATCCTGAAGTCGCTGCTTTGTCCATGAATCTCTGCCCTGCAGTTTTGTGGACCCACTCTGCCTCTTTTCCAGGGATCAAAAACCCCATGGACAACTGCAGGAGGGTCCCCAACCCCGACCAGCGGGACAGGGATGGGGACGGTGTTGGGGACGCCTGTGACAGCTGCCCMACCCTCAGCAACCCCGACCAGGTACGGATCCACCCTGCCCATCCCATGCTGGGATCCACCAGAATCCCCCAGAAACCCCACAGGAGCTCCCCTGCTGCTGCCAGCTCTGTTCCCTGTTCCTCCTCC